AGGAACTGTGATTGGGACTGATCAGTGTTATTTAAGTTCGAGTTCCGATGAGAGTAAGCCTGTTTGAAGCAGATTGGTGATTTGGAGACCATAACTGGCTTTTGCATTGATTAAGCGGGGCAGGTATTGGCTTTGAAGGTGTATTTGGATCTGATTTCTTTGAAGGGCCGTACTAATTAATTATGAATTATGATGAGAGAATGGAAAGCCAAATTGATTGGGTTTGATACATTCTCCGCATCTTGAACAACTGCTCAAGGAATTTGTCTTTGAAACAAAATATGAGAAGACCCTCTTGAACCTTGATACAAAGATGACTGACTGTCCTCTGGCATTTGCAGATCTCATCTGGTAGCCAACCTAATTCTTCTAGATCAACTGTGTCCGTGTGACATTTCACCATATGATATCTCCCATGAAGCTCTCCTGAACAGCATGTTCCTTGTGTTATTTTTCTAATCAATTTATGGCCAGCAGCACTACACAAATTCTCCTTCAATGCTTCTAATACTTGAGAGCTCAAACTTAAAAAGTGTTAAAACTCAGCACGGTTGATAAGTTAGGTGTTGATTTTACTAGATTTGTATACATGTAATCGAGGTGTTGCACTCGTTCTTCAAAAAAATTGTTGTCAACAATAAAAAAAAATCGTATATCCAACAACTTCAATTCGGTTCATTCAAATTTGATGTGCGAAATAAGATTTTGAGTTTTGAAAATCCAAAATCTTCTGCGCTACCCCGACGTATCTTGCAGCACAGTGGTCAAGAAGCATTCTTAATAGGAATGGGGGAGAGAACCGGCGTGAATACATTGGTTAATGATAGTTGATAAATGAGTCGTGATTTAATTACTTAGCAAGTTCTTCTTCTAGAGAAGTAAACTACATCAATTTGCGTAGCAAAACTGTCATCGTACGTACCAAAATGTTATAGGTTGAATGGCTGCAAATCTATATTGCACATTACTGCATTACCTTTCAACCAGGCTAGTATGCATTGACAGGAATGAAAGCCTGGACAAGACTCATGCATATAGACTCAGTCACGGAACCACATTTTGCATACATATTAATTAAACCATTATTTTTCACAAAATTGTCATACTCAAGACTGGCCTTGACGGTGTAAGCATGAACTTGTTTCCCCCTCATCTAGAGCTAGCCTCAAGTGAACCACAAGCCGTGAGAACACTAGTGCAAGCAAAGGCATCTGGTTTCCAACCAAATCTGTATCCATTGTGGCAAACAGCTTAATAGCTTCCCTGTTGAATGAATTCTACATGTAGAGGGGCAGAGCCAGAATTTTTTTTCAAGAGGAACGAGATAATTTTTTATATACTAATTTGTAAAATTTTGAAATTTCAAAAAACATGAGATAATTTTTTATATATTAATTTACAAAAATTTTCAAATTTCAGGAGGATGAGCACGACCCTTGCATCCCCTCCCTCTGGTACTGTGCATGTACCCAGCAATCATTATGGTCCATGAAATAACATGTCTAACCACCATTCTATCAAAAATCTAGTCTCTCAGTAATATCCACTCTGCCACACTTTGAATAAAAATCTATTAGCACATTGACCACTGAAACATCTAATTCTGCTCCTCTCCTCAGCATATATATATATATATATGTGTGTACATGCCCATGAATCTGTTTCCCTCCAATAAACCCAAAAGTTGTTGAGCATGCACTCAAAACACTAGAGAGCACATTTACCAGGAATGACATCAGTTTCTCTCATCTGATTAAACAATTGTAGTGACACTTCACAGTTCACTCTTTACCGCGCTTAGCGTACCATGTTATCGTTGTAGTCCAAGTAACAGCTAGCAGTTTTCGCATCCAATGCAGGGTATCGAAAACTAATCTTGCATGTAACTCGTACTATGAAAGTATTAAATACATTTAATTACTGTTTTTAATTAATTAAGAATATTTTGATATTGGCTTACCTAAAAAGAATATTTTGATACTTTCATAATTTTAAGTATAATTCTTTTTGAATAGTTCATAAATTAAAAAAAAAAAAAACATTCTTTAAAGAAAATTAATCAAGTGATTTCTTCTCTTTTTTTTTTATTTGATTATCCGTTACATGTATAATAAAAGGGTTAAAACCTGATTTTGGTTTTTGAACTATTATATAGACTCTTGATTTGATCCTTAAACTTAAAAAATCTCTGATTTGGTCCTTATTATTTATCATTTTAACCCCGATTTGGTCTTTCTGTTAATTTTTCACGTTAATTGACGGACGAAGATAGAAGAAGCATTACATGTCACACAAAAATTGACAAATTGGCAAAAATAGATGACATGGCCATTCCAACTCATCCCACCAAAAAAAAATTTTTTTTTTTCATTCCTCTTTTTCCTCCTCCCTTTAACTTCTAAAAACCCTAACATCTCAACCAATCTATTCATCTCAACCAATTTCTACCTTTACTGGGTTTTTCATCATTATCATTAAACAACAAAATCCACAAAAAAATAGCAACGCTTGGATTCAATCGAACCCAACAGGCACCCTTTCTCTCTCCTTCCTCTTCCTTGTCTTGCCTTCTTCATCTTCATCAATCAATTTTTCATCATCATTAAACAACAAAACCCAAAAAATAAAAAGAAAAAACAGGTTTTTTTTTTTAATTTTTTACCTCTGTCGAACCTAGGCATGCTGGGTTCGAAGGAACCCGCACCTAGGTTCGAAGGAACCCACACCTGGGTTCCATCGAACCCAAATGTGTTAGGTTCCAAGGGGAAAGAGAATGGAAAGGGGAAAGAGAAAGGCAAAGAGAAGAAAAAAATTTTTTTTTAAGTTTTATTTTTCATATTAATATTTTTTATATTATTATTTTTCCCATGTCATCACTTTTTTTGTCATAGTGTCTTTCACGTGTATCAATATTTGACATGTTATCATGTAGCCATGAAGTAACATGCCACGTCATGAGATTTTTAACAAAATGATCAAATCGAGGTTAAAATGGTAAATAATAAATATTAAATAAATTTTTTTTTAAGTTTAGGGACTAAATCGATGATCTGTATAATAATTCAAAAACCAAAATGAAGTTTTAACTTAATAAAAAATAATTTCCTTTCATCCCATTTATATTCTTATAATTCGAATCTAAAATATCTTATTTATTTAAATTGAAAAATTCTCACTCCACTTAAATCGTTGACCCGCTTAAGGAAATTAATTAAGGGTTGTGTTTGAAATTGAGTAGTTGAGTTCGTGATCAAAAGATGGCGGTCCTCCCCGGCATGTTAATCAACTCGATTTTTTAAGAGATTAATAGAAAGGTAATTTTTCTTAAAATTTTTAGTCTCAACTTGTAGATGATGATTTGTATTTAACTGCAATAAAGAAAAATTAATATTTAAATGTACACAAATTTACTCTAAAACATTGTTGGAAACAAACAATCACTCGTCCGATTCAGTCTCATTGTCCATCAAACAATGCACATATTTGGACACCTTTATCACAAGCTACAAGACATTATCAAAAAGTTGCAAACCATTAAACCTAAAGAAAAGGCACATGTTTTTTCATGAATGTTCGAAAAAAGAAAATGGAAAAGCACATGTATTGTTTGGAAAATGTTCAGCTCAACTTTTTGGAAAATGTCTCTTTAAACTCTTCCTTTTTATTTATTTGTTTTTCAAAATCAAAATCAAATTTAAGTAACTTGATAGTAATTTTTATTTTTTTGAAGTAAAAAATCCTTAATTTAAATGTACTTAATGTATGCGGGCTTTGTTGTAGAAGGCAAAGAATATGTTTCTGGTTCAGAACTTTTTATGTGGACACCAAACTCTCTTTGAAATATAAGTTTTAAAAAGACTGAAATGGAAAGGGACACTTCCGGAATCCAATGCTGAAAAAGAAAATGGAGATGCTTCAGTTTACTAATGTTTCTAGCTAGTACGGTATTATCTTTCATCTTGCATGTTGTCAATGGGACTAGTTACTGAATTATGTATCATGGACCAATAGTTGAGCCTAAAACAGTAAATAACTCAATTATATATTAAGTTAAGCCACTCGAAGGCCCCAAAAAAAAAAAACTAATAAGCCATTGAGGCCTTTCGTTTGGTGGTCCAAGACTTGAAGGCTTTTGGTGGTCCAAGACTTAAAGGCTGAGGTCAATAAGTTCGACTTTTGAAATTGGTGAGCTTTTTTTTTATTTTTTTTTAACAAATTCGTAAGAAGTTGGAATGAAATCATTGGCTTGGGAGTGGGAAAATGCATTTATATGTGGCTTGATGTCACTGGATCCAAAGACCCAAGTGTAATTGGTGAGCTTTTTTTTTATTTTTTTTTTTTAACAAATTCTTAAGAATTTGGAATAAAACCATTGCCCTGAGAGTGGGAAAATGCATTTATACATGGCTTGCCGTCACTGGACCCGAAGGTCCAAGTGTAATTGGTGAGTTTTTTCTTTTTTTTTAGTTTTCTATTGTATTTAATTTGTGATATTTGCCTAACTATATATACAATTAAGTAGTTTATTGGTATTTATTTTTAATAAAAGTAAAAAGTCTTCTCTTTTACTATATAATTTAAACTAATAATAAAAAATAATT